ACCAAGTATTAGAGTTGAGGATGACCTGAAAATGTACAAAATTTACCCAGTTAGTCTAACGCAATGTCAGGAATTGCATGGTTTCATGTTTAGAGATGATTCTAAACTCGAGCAATATATCAAAGACCATCCCTGTGCAAAGCTTCAAGTAAATTTTGTGTAACTATGATCTGGGCATCTGTTTTCCCCTTATTCTTACTAAACTTCACCGTGTGCGAGTTTCAGTTGTATTGTAGTGTAGGGTGTTTTGTATAGCAAAGAAACTCATGCTATGCTAGTACAGATCACCATCTACCGCTTGTAAATTTTCCATGATAGTGAACAGCAGTTCCTTCCTTCAGGAACAATCGCAACAGATCTTAGCTAAATCACATCAAATCTCACTGCAATTATCGGAAGAACCCCATAGCCAAAGCTTCCCTGATCCCACAAACGCGCAAGCAGGAATATAGTGTGGTGATCCAGACAGGAGCAGGAACAATGTTATGCTACCTGTGCGGCTCGAGCTATGCGATGAACCAGCCATACCCGAGAAGCGTGTCGGCGTCCTCGGTGTTCTCGAAGAGATGGCCTGGGGGCCCATGGATCCTACTGCTCGGATGGCTGTCGCGCCATGGATCTAGTGCCACGCCCTTGTTCAAGCAGAGGGGACAACCCCTGGTGTTGCCTCATTCGTAGAGGATGCTGACGAGGAGCGATGGGGATGACAACGCGACAGGGTGTGGGGTGCGGGGATGGGGAGCGGAGTGTGCGGTGGCGGTGGCCCGTGGGATCTAGTGGGGTGTGGGATCCAGTGAGGACGATGGCACGGGTGCATGGCATGGGCGCGCACGGCGAGGACTACGGCGCGGGCGACGGCTGTGGGTCAGGAATGGTCTTCCGGTGGCGGCGTGGCTTTTTGTGGAGCGCTATGGAGTACGGGTCGCGTGGGGAGGATGTTAGGATGGGGAGCAAAGGCAGCGCGGCATAGGACACGACGGCATCGGTGACATGCGGCGGCGCACGGGTGTAGTTTCAGACCTGCGATTGCCGCGAGGCTGAGGTGAGGGCAGAGAGAGGATCAGAGGATTACTTGGACCGAGAGTGATTGGTGCCTAGATCTCACGATGGGGAGATGGCGAAGTTTCGCACGGAAAGCGGTTTCGTGCAGGGGAGGCATACGGACGACACAAAACAAATGTCGCACGAAAAAAGTGTCCATGTTTTCTTCTTTTTAGTTGTAGGAGATTTTGCCTTTCCTTTCTTTTTTTTCTTTAGTTTTCTTTTTTATTTGTTTCATTTCATTGCTTCTATTTATTCTTCCTTTTTCTTTTTGTTTTTAGTTTTTTATGTTTTTCATTCTTATTTCATTTCCTTTCCTTTTCTTATTTATTTTTACCTTTTATTTTTCTTTTTTCTTTTGATTTCTTTTAATTAGTTTTCCTTGCTTCTATTTATTTTCCCTTTCCTTTTATTTGTTATATATATCATGTTTTTATCATTTTTATTTTATTTATGTTTTTCTTTGATTCATATTTTTTATTTTTATCTTTCTTTAATTTTATTTTTTTTTTTTTTCTTTTTTGTTTTCGTGCATCATTCATTTTTTATTTTTTTTTTTGTTTTATGTGTTTATTATTATTTTATTTTTTATTATTTTATTTTTTATATTTTTTTACTTTACTTTTATTTATTTTTTCTTTTATTTTCTTATTTTTTTATGATGTTCTATTTTATTTTTTTAATGTTTTTGTAGCATATATATGATGTTTTATATTTTTTATGTTTATGTGGTATATATGTGATGTTTTGTTATATTTTTTATGTTCACTTGGTATATATGTAATGTTCTATGATGTATTGTGCGATGTTCGCGTAATATACATATGTTGTTCTCGTAGTATACATGTGATGTTCTATGGTGTGTTTTTTATGTTCATGTAGTATACATATGATGTTCTATGATGTATTTAATGATGTTCACGTAATATATATGCGATGTTCTATAATGTATTTATTAGTGATGTTTAATGATGTATTTAGTGATGTTCATGTAATATATACGTGATGTTGTATAATATATTTAGTGATGTTATATATACATAGGACCGAGCACTCTAAATAAAATTTAGAGCGCCCGTCCAACTCCGACGTTGACTCCTTCGGTTGGTCCCCGCCACGTGACCGTAAATCATCGGCCCACAACAGGAATTATTGCTACCAATCCAGTTTCAATTCCGCATACGCGTATATGGTAATCATAAGCATGTGTTTGGTTTTGGGACGATGTGGGTTGGGTTGGAGCCGACCCACTTTTATGGGTCGGAGCCGACCCATCTCGTGTTTGGATGAGTGGGTTGGAGCCGACCCAGTCTTTTATTTGGTTGAAGAGGTTGAGAGGGTTGGGATGGATGTCCTTTTAACACCGTTAGTTCTGGACCCCACACTGCCGCCTCTGGGCCCCCCTGATCCTCCTCTTTTTTTTCCTCCCTTCCTCTTCTACCTTCTTCCTCCTCCCCGCACGGCTCCTCTCCTGGCTCCTCCCGCAGGCCCCTGCTCCCCCTCCGACGCAGGCTGCCTCCCCAATTCCTCCCCGACGCCGTGCCGCCTCCGGCTCCACCCGACGTCGGGCGCTGCCTCCCCGACTCCTCCCCGGCGCTCCCTCCCCGGCTCCTCCCCGGCCGCTCCCTCCCTCCCGGCCGCCTCCGCCGCGCTCCCTCCCTCCCTCCGTCTGGCGCCGCTCGCTCCCTCCTCGCCGCACCGCGCCAGGCTGCTCCTCCCGCGCATGGACACGCGCGTGCAACGGACGGACGCAACGTCCGTCGATGCAGGTCGATGCAACGTCCGTCGAGGGCTAAGGGCCAGGGGCTCGTCCCGCGTCGGAGGGCGGGGGCCGGGAGCCGGAGGTCGCACGGAGCTGCGCCATGGCCGAAGCATCCGGACATCACTGGGTGCCGGAGGTCGCCCATGCCGGTGATGGAGAAGCATCCGAGCAATCCGCGTCTGCGCTGTCGCCAACGGAGATGCAACGACGTCCATCTGGGTCGAGATGATTTCTCCGATTTGGAGGTACCCAACGAACCCGCATCTAGAGAGAATATACCTTGTGCGGGGTGAACCCAACCCACTGATTCTAGAACCAAACAACAGATCATCTGGGACGAACCCGGGATATCCCAGTTGAACCCGCAAACCAAACACATGGTAATTGTGTCGTGCATGATTGGAGTAAGCCAGCGGTAGTAGTGGACGCGTCCGGCGACGCGGCGGCCTTTCCAGAACCAGCGGCGGCGCCCCCTCGACCTCGTCGGCGGCCGCGGCTCCTCCCTCACCAGTGGTCCTGGACTCCTGGTGGTCTCCTTCGGCGCCGCGCGGCCCAGCGGAGACGACGGCCCCCCGCTGCGGCGCGACCGACCCAGCGACGACGACGGCCCTCGGTGGCGGCGCCTCCTCCTTCCCCACCAGCGGCTGCGCCTCCTCCCACGGAGGCGGCGGCGCGTCCACCACCACCACTGACGGCGGCCCTTCCTCCCCACTGGCAGCTACACCCGGTTCCCTCACCTGCAGCCCCTTCCTCGCCAACAAGGGCGGCGGCGGCCCCTCCACACTTCTCGATGCTCGGCGAGGGCGCGACCTCTCCGTCTGCATCCTTCACCGGCACCATCCTCCACCTTCCCCACCGGCGGCGGCGCTCCTCCCTAACCGGCGGCCGCGGCTCCTCTTCCCCCACAGCGGCGGCGGCGGCGGCTCATTCCAACCGGCGGTGCCGCCCTCCCTGTGCGAGGTGTCCATGACCTCCACGGCAGCGGCGGCGGCCCTCCATGGCCACCTTTAAAGCGGCGGCCACCCTCCATGACCACCTCTGCCGCCCGTGGCAGCGCCCTCCATGGCCAGATTGGGGGCGGCGGCGGCGTCCTGCATGGTCACCTTGGTATCTTGGGCAACGGCGGCGTCCTCCATGGTCACCTCGGTATCTTCGGCAACGGCGGCGGCGGTTGAGCACGAGGTGCGGGGGAGGTGCGGCGGCCCCTCCGGCATCTGCTTCTCCCGGCTAGATGAGGTGCTCCAGCTGCTGTCGGGTCCTTGGCGTCTGCTCCCATGCTCGGCGTGGTGGCAGATCCATGGAGGAAGCCAGCAAATCCAGTTCGTGGAGGTGGCGTTGGATTTTGTACAGTATGTATTAGCTTCTGAAATTGTATCCGCAGCGGCGGAGGAGGATTAGTTCAATATACATCGGCTCTGCCGGTGTTTCTTCCGTTGCTTCTCCCGTTTTTTCTCTCGAGTTCACAGATAGGCAGAATAGCGTTATCCTTCATTGGCGGAAGCTTCTTGCCTTCTTCTACGAGATGACGAACTCTCGTTGTCAAGCACATCTTCAGCCTGTTCGGTTCACAGAAAAATACTGTTCCGGCTAAAAATTTATATCGTTTACGACAAGCCACAACTAAACGAACAGGCTCAATTTGTGCCTGTCCTCAAACTAATAAAGAAGCCTGTCCTCAAAATTTATATAATTGGTCTCTGAACGCTCTAAACTAGTAGTAATGGGTCTCTGAACATTACTGAGCAAGTACTAAGATTTCTTTTCGCTTCCATAACAGCAAATGTTCATCGCAACTAGTAGTAATCGGTCTCTGAATATTACTGGGCTAGTAGTAATAGCCACCGATCCGCTCTCTCGAGTGTTCTAGTGAACAGTAGAGAGTGGCCATTTTTCTCTCCACCAGAGATCCACCTGCTACAGATCGGGATTCAGGGTCGGGAGATCTTCTATGTGCTCGAGCCCATCTCGCGGTACACTCAATCTGCAACTCGTTCCAGTCTATTGCTCTGTTCTTGCTACCCTGGCTTCATCTGGTTCCTGTCCATCGCGGTTCGGGGCGATTCAGGGGTGAACCTTGCTTCACTGCTCGCCCTTGGCTTGCGCTTGAGGCAGGGCTGGATTGTGCTTGGGGATTAGCAGAACGAGAAGAAGGGGCCTTCTTATCCTACGGATTGCGGAGATTCAGGCTGCGTAATCCATGAAGGGGGGAAATCAATTACCCTTGGAGTCTCCAAACCAAACGGTGAGCCAAGGGGTTCAAGTTACACCATTGGATGACAATATGGTCGAGATGTTAGGTCGCTTGAACTTGACATCAGAAGAAAGTGATGCAGTTGAGGTGGCAGATGATATTGAAGAAGATTTGGCAACATCTGATTGCGCCATTATTGGTAAGATCCTGTCTCAAGGGGTCTTGCATATACAAACAATTACATCAGCACTTAAACCTGCTTGGGGTAATCCAAAAGGTTTGAGGATGAGAACAGTTGGGGATAATATGTTTATTGCAGACTTTGGCTCCAAGCAGGACAAAAATAGAGTTTTAGATGGTTCTCCCTGGAATATTGGTAAGCGGAACGTTTTAGTTCAGGAGTTTGATGCTTCTATGAGGCCATCTGATATTCACTTTGATTATATGTCGATTTGGGTGAGGATTTATAATATTCCTTTTGGTCTGATGAATGGAAAATGGGGTTATGTGATTGCAAAGAAAATAGGGCCTGTTGAAAAATTAGAAGTGGATGATCAGGACCGTGCATGGGGAGCTTACCTTAGAGCAAAGGTACAGATCAATATAACGAAACCTCTTATGAGGGGCGTTTCAATTTTCTCAACCAAAAGACAAGCAAAGGAATGGTATGAGGTGCGATATGAGAAATTACCAAATTATTGCTACTCATGTGGAATTATTGGATATTCCTCTGTTGAGTGTCTTACACCAGCTGAGCGAGATGCAGATGGCTTGCTCCCTTATAGTGGAGATCTGAGAGTTCCAGATGACAGAAAGAAAAGGCCTTCTGATGATGTAAATGGCCAGAGCTCTACCACAGCAGGGAAGAGTGGTGGCACAAGTGGCCAAGAATCAATGTCAGGTGCAATTGATCTCAGAACACTAAATAATCAGGTTAGAAGTAAGGACAATTCTGGACATCAATTTTCCTGTCCGAATGATGCAAAGGATGAGAACACATTCACAATCCCATTAAGACGGTCTACTAGAACAAAAACTAATTCCTCTAAGAGTGCAGGAACAAATTTGTGCAAGGAAAAAAAAAACCAGCATATTTAACCAAGGCAAGAAAAGAAAACAAACAAGAAGTTCAATGCAAGGTTCACTGAAAGCTCTGGCAGCACGGGATGATAAAGTAGTTCCAATGGAAATGGCTATGGTTCTGGCTCAACCTAGTGAATCAGTTAATATTATTTTGGGTGATACTTCTGAAGTGGGACTTGAGGAAAAAGAAAAGGAACTATTTAAGAAACAGAAGAAGGAGCAAGACTTGCAACCAATATATCGGCGGCGGCTGGTCTCCAGCCCCGCCAGGAGCCATGAATCTCTTATGTTGGAACTGTCAAGGCCTAGGGACGGACTCGACAATTGGCAAGCTTCGCCAATTGGTGAAGCGATACCGTCCCTCCCTCCTGTTTTTATCGGAAACCAAAATGAGGGATACTAAAGTGAGAAATTTAATGTGGTCCCTTGGATTTTCAGGTTGCTTTGCTGTCAGTAGCGAAGGAAGAAGTGGTGGCCTTGCTTTATTTTGGGTTAAGGAATGTGTGGTATCACTTGAGCATTACTCGATGAATATTATTGATGTGCTAATAAATTTAGAAGATGGAAGTGTGTGGAAATCTACTTTTGTTTATGGAGAACCTAAAACGAAACAACGTTATCAATTCTGGGATCTTCTTCGTTTTATTAGAGCTCATTGGAACGGGCCTTGGTTATGTGCAGAAGATTTTAATGAAGCCTTAAGTAGTGATGAGCATTTGGGAAGGACACGAAGAGGTGAATCACAAATGAAGCTCTTTAGGGAATGCCTAGAGAACTGTGGTCTCTTGGATCTAGGATTCTCAGGGCCAAAATTTACGTGAAATAATAGGCAAGATGGTATTAATTGTAACATCCCGGGTGTTACGAGCTTACTTAGTACCGAGAGAAATTAGCAAAACAAGTTCTCGAGTTTTTAAAAAAAAATAAAACACACATGAAATGCTAAACAAACCATGTGCGACTCCCTTTTATGGTCGAGAGAAATCAAATAAATATCTAAGTTAATTTACTCAGTGCGTAAATGTGCTAATAAAAATCCTAATAAGTAGAATAAAATAAGTAGTTTTAATTGTTTGGTACGAAAGACAAGCACATACTGTACTCAAGGAAGGAAGGAAAAAGAAGAGCAACAAGGAAAAGTGGTATTCGGCTGAAGAGAAGGAAATAGAAAGGAAGCTTTGTGAACTGTTGGAAGGAAATTATGGTTCGGCAGCGATCAAGGATTGATTGACTGAAAGAGGGAGATAGAAACACATCTTTTTCCAAGCTCGAGCTACTGCTAGAAAAAACACTAACAGAATAAAATACCTTATAAGGGAAGACGGTACAAAGTGCTCAAAACAAGACGAACTCCAATGGTCCATGATTTTTACATGAAATTATTTACTTCGGAATCATGCGAGGATATTGACAGGATTTTAGAGCCAGTACCACAAAAGGTTAACCAAAATATAAATGATGAATTATGTAAACCATATACAGACGAGGAGATTCAAGATGCTTTATTCCAAATGGGCCCAACAAAGGCGTCTGGTCCAGATGGCTTCCCAGTAATCTTTTATCAACGTTATTGGACTTTTTCAAGCATGATATATTGTGGCAGAACCGCCTAATCTAATGCCTCCCAGAAGTACTTATCTTCCATTAGACACTAAGTACTTAGGGGAGAGCACCAAATTACGCGGTTCCATCGAGCACACCCTAAGAGAGAACCCGAAAATTCATATTTTTCCATCAGGATCACAAATGAGAGAATAAAGCTTACATCATTATTAATCATTTCTTACATCACTTTACATGCAGCATCAGAGTATAATATTTATTATTTATAACAGCAGAATATGAACATGTTATCAGAGTTATGAACAATTTAATTTAACAGCGGAATATAAACATGTGATCAGAGTTACAGCGAAAATAAATATATATTTATGACATGATGAAACATTGATATATACACTATGACAACATATTATAAAGCTTTCATTTATAAAAACATTTAGTAAGAGTTATAAATTAAACTATGATCACAGCGTAAAGGAATCCTCTCTGAGCCCACTAGGAGGAATCCGCACACAAGGGTCAGCTCTAGCATCCGCCTGTCACCTGCAAAAGGGGAAAATAAAATCATGAGTACTCAATCGTACTCAACAAGACTTACCTGACAGGAGGAAAGAAAAGACTCCAAGGATATGCAAGGCTATCTGGCTGGTGGGTTTGTTGCATCTGCAGGAGCATTACTAAACATGTGTCCTTATATTCAATTTTATTAGCAGTCCTCATTAGTCATTAACTAACCATTCTATATAAGCACATGTGCTACTTTTCAAGCAGGTGGTAAGCAATCAGAATCATTTTAACATCTTTCATCTTTCAGTTCTTACTACGGTGCTAGATTGTAGACAAGTCGTACCGAATCATCGGCGATTCGTGAATCAATGTGCCCAGCTAGGTACCCCGAAGCACACGCCCTGCTTGTACCCAGGCACAAGTAGGACCAACCCACTACCCTTCTGTCACAGGTTTCAGATCCCCGTCCAAACTTGGACTCCAAGCCCCCGCCCCTAAGTCTCGAACTCAGTGCGGTGCTTGGACCTCCACCCAAAAACCACCCTGAAAGTTGGTCTGGAAAGAGCCGAAACCCATGACAAGAGAGTAACAAGTCTTCCCGCGCCCATACACAAGTATGTGTTTAGGATAATAAGTCTGTGAGTTGCCTAGAGTCCAATGCAACGGTCGGTCCTTAAGCGACATAGACAGGGAAAACAGTGTAACCAAGCTATGCCCCGTTGGCCGCAGGACACAACCTCTTACACCCACCAATACCCAAACCATATTCCTGCCAGGTCTCCATTTATCATTCATATATATATATATATATATATATATATATATATATATATATATATATATATATATATATATATATATATATATATTCCAAGTGATAATAATATAGTAACAACAATAATATATTTTATATCTCTCGCGGGTGATAGGCATTCACTCGACTTCTACCGAAGTCCTGTAGCATAGCAATCTACACGATCCTATCATACTAGTAAGACTCATGGGATAAAGGTATATATATGCAAGTGGGTTTCATTCAACTCCTTAAAACTTAATGCACAACATAATATAAAGTGTAGAAAAGTAGATGTTATGCACTAGGGTTTGCCTGGATAAAATATAACCAAAAGTTAGTACTCTATCTTTGTGTCCTGATCCCTGGCACCCTCTTTTTAGCTACTCCGTTTGATACCATCGATCCACCGTCGTTCCTATTATGATATGCAATGCGATGCAGAGATGATGCAATAGTTAATTAACTAGGCAACAACAATTCTTAAAATAGAGTACATACTATGAACTAACAAGCTAGCTCTAATGACTAACGTACTAATCTGCGTATCAACATCGTCGAGAAAGGTGTCATCTCCCAACAAGTGTTATAGTTATACAATTTCAAGATGTTTCTTTATTCTATTCTATCGATTTAATCTTTATTCGAAATAGAGCATCATTATGTATCTAGCAATCTAATATTATTCTGGAGCTACAAAAATTACAGTGAGCAGCTAATAATATTAGGAATTTACTGTAAAATTTTTAGAGTCAACACCATCACCATTTTCTCACAAAAATTCCTACGAGCTTAGATCTTATTAAAACTAAGCAATTTAAATTAATTATGGCAACCCTAAAAACAGCACCAACTAGATGAACCATTTACGCTAATAGATAGATCATGATTTTAGGAACTCAACGAAATTTATTCCACAATTTTTGGACTCCTAAATGATTTTATATTTAAATAACAAAACTAGCTCAGAATTTATTTTAGGAAATCCTCACTAATTCATTGGAAAAAGAAAAGAGCACCGCGGCCCACTCGGTCCATGGCTAGTGCGGCCTCAGCGTGGCCCATGACCGGCGAGCCGGCCTAGCGACACGGCCCAGGCGGTGTGCGCGGCCGGCGGCCCAGGCCGTGGCCCACGGCGTGGCGCAGGCGCGGCCCACAAGGCGCGAGCGTGAGCATCCCAGGCGTGGTGGTAGGCCGGCCCGGTGCGGACGAGCCCAGGCGCAGCGGCCATCATGCACGAAGACCCCTGGACTTTCCCTAAATTAACTAAGCCCCTATTTGTAAATCTACGAGTCTAGCATTTTTGCAAAGTGAACACAGTAAGAGTTTCTATTCACGGTTGAGTCCTTCTTCTACCTCTTCACGAAGCGAAAGGAAGGCGGGGAAGTACTCCGCCCGGCCCGGGAAGCGACTTCGCCGACAATGGTCTTTGTCGTCGTAATGAAATATGGGCGGCAGCAGCGAGAGACAGAGCGGCGGCTTGTGGGAGGTGCTGAGCAGCCACAACCGGGCTCGGCCTGGCCATGGCGCGGATCGAGGCGAAGCTCGGCATGATGGCCACACGCGACCGCGGCAGAGGAGGCGGCGACGGCACACTGGGGGGTGGCTGCTGAAAGCATCTAGGCCTCTAGTTGGATTTCGGTGATTAATGTCAATACAAGATTACTATGACTAACATGTGTTTTGCAGAGGCATATAAAGTTAGGTCATGGTAATGGAGATCGATTGGGCAATCGAGGTTGTCATGCCCCTACGATGGAAATCGTTTCGGTTTTCAAAGGATTAACGACAAGGTTAAGGATGACTAGTTCTAAGTGTCGATTGGAGTTGGAGAGATATTTAGAATAGTTTAGGACTTTGTTTTTTTCTTTGGCCGTACTATTAAGGGGGATATAAACGGGTAGCTTAATCTAGTTGAGTCTAGTGAGTTAGGTGTGGTGCACACTTGTTAAAACTAGCTCTAGGTAGCTCCTATGAATGCCTAAGATCCTTTGGAGCAAACTTCATTCTCATATGATCGAGAGTTGGAAGTGAATGGAGGGTCAAATACTGACCGGACGCTGGCTCCGGTGCGATCAGACGCTGGCCGCAGGGTCCGGTCAGTTCATTTGACCGAGGAGAACAAGTCTGGTGTGACCGGACGCTGAGGGCCAGCGTCCGGTCAACTCCAGTAAGGGTCCTGACTTGAGAAAGTATGACCGGATGCGTCCGGTCAGTGGTGACCGGACCCTGAGTATCCAGCGTCCGGTCGATTACAGTAAGCATTCAAGAGCGAACGGATGCGTCCGGTCAGTGCTGACCGGACCCTGACAGCGTCCGGTCAACACGATCGGAGCGTCCGGTCATCCCGCAGAAGCTCACAACGGTTCGTTTTTCAGGCTGCCTTATAAATAGAAGCTCCACTCGTGTGTGGAGTGACTTTTGCTCATTCCAACAGCTGAGAAACACATTTGTGAGTGCCAAGAAGAGCAAGGTCCTAGTGAGGTGTTTGTGATTTGAGAATCCAAGAGTGAAACCTCATTAGTGAATCAAGAGTAGACAAGTGTGCATCCATCTTCTCATTAGGCTTCACGTGGTCAAGTGAGAGTTCGTGCTTGTTACTCTTGGTGATCGCCATCACCTAGATGGCTTGGTGGTGATTGGGAGCTTGGTGATCACCCGACGGAGCTTGTGGGTGACCCAACTCAAGTTGTGAGCGATTTTGGGTAATTCGCCGCGACGGAGTGTCGAAGAATCAACCCGTAGAGAGCACTTGATCCTTGCGCGGATCAAGGGGGAGCTACACCCTTGCACAGGTGCTCCAACGAGGACTAGTGGAGAGTGGCGACTCTCCGATACCTCAGCAAAACATCGCCACGTTCCTCTCTCCATTTACTTTGAGCATTTACTTTAAGTATTTACTTTGAGCAATTCAATACTCGTCTTTACATTCATAGAATTGCTATGCTAGAGTAAGTT